TGGTATATATTATATTTAATTTTATAAATACAGTTTGTTGAACTTTTGGCTTGGAAATGTTTAATTGCGTTAATAATTGCGTGTATAAGCTTTTACGTGTATATTACACCTACGGCTACACGGCAAATATATAGGTACAACATACATATATGTTTATATACATTACATATATTTATTTATATTTGTACACGTGTTGTTATCAGAGAGTCCGGTATTTGTGTAGAATGATTACTACATTTAGATAAAATAAAAAGATGAAATTTTTAGTTACATATCACGTTCTGCGAACATTGTACAAAATCAAACAAGAAATTACACAAATAAAAAAATATTTAATTCGAAACGATTTATTAATTTAAAAAAAAACTGAAACTACGCTCATCGAAACACTACTCTACAATAATCCTCGTTCTGTAAATACACCATCCTAATATTATAATATTATTAGATTATTTCACGATAACACTCAATGCAGAGTAACCTATTTTCAAACGGCGTCTTAAGTTTAGGTATACTGCTTTGACGAGTTGGACCGCATACAAATTTGACCCCCTGTGTCCAGGGTCCGTCAAACTATGTTTGATCGTACAATTTATACGTATCGCAATAATAATATATTCGCAGTGAAATACTACGGGAAAATCGTGAACAACGCCACAAAGACGTAAAACAACGAGTGAACATTTTATATAGACGGCAGCGTATTGTTTCAATTGATTTTCACACTCGTTATATAGTAATAATATGACGAGTGGTGTGGCTTGTCGAGATGGGGTCTGTGGCTGAGAGGAAATGAAAGTATTTTTTTACCCGTACGGGGTGAATTCATTTTAAGTGAGAAAGTGTGTCACCGGTTTTTACAGTATTTTGTGTATGTCAAAACCATATAACTTGTGCTTTAATATTAAGTATACTATCATAATATTATATTTATAAGACAAATCACATTCTGAACAATTGTTTTTTATATAAAATATATCGATCATATTATAATATATTTTTTTTAAATTTGAAGACAAAAGGCGTCGGGGTATATTTTGTCGAAAAACAACGAAATATCTAGCTTTCTACTACGTCATTCTATACATATAAAGCAGGTAAAAATACAAATTATTTTTATTTGCACTCAACCATAATACATTGCCAGTGATACATTTTACTCCTGAATGAATTAAATTGAAATTCATGATTTTAATTTATGTAAATTGAAAGTAATATTCATCTAATGAACACAAAAAAAAAAAGAGTACGTATTTATTATTAATATTTAATATACTCTTTATTTTTTTTTTTTTTGATAGTTACTTTTTATTTTTCGTTACTTAATTTCAACCAGTTATGGTACGGAAAATTAATTAAATAAACAATGGTACTAACTCATCTTATCATAAAATTCGAGAGGTTAGAAAATACAAATCACAATGTAGTTAAATTGCATATCCATGGCGCCGTGTTAACTAAATTGAATTATTGAAGGCTCATTCTTCAACAAAATAATTCACGTGAACAACCGCAAAACGCTATAACATAATAAATCTCACCAGAAAATGTAAGATTGTGTCATTTTTGTCAGCGGTATAACAACAGCAATCTCTATCCCAACTATATTATATCACTGTAAGTAATGGTATTTTCCTTTCGAATTTTGATTTTCTTTATTTTTATAATTTTTTCGTTTTTATGGTTTTAAATTTTTCTCCATATGCTATCTTATTGGATAGCTTATTTTTTTTTTAACATAGTCTCTTTACGATCGCACGATTTATTTGTGGTTTTCTTCTTTCGAATGTATATCGTAATCGGTTGTTATTCGTCTGGTGGTTCAGGCATTATTTATAGTCCGATAGTAAAAAGGTTATTTTTTTTCGTACCAACACTACCAACACAATAATATAGTATACTCACTGATACTGACATGATGATAACACACACAGCTTGAATATAACATAATTTTCGTGTACAGGTACCTAACTTTTTGAACTTTTTGCCGCATTACTTGAGTAACTTTCTATCGTAACTCATAAAATTATACAATGTAACCGAGCATTATTAATTCACCTTAAATTATGCACATGATTTTTTAAGATCGTCTCCTAATACATGCAAAATGTCTTTTGAATTATGACGTTAGTTTTCTGTTTGCCACACAAATAGATAAATAAGATAGATATGAAAAGCAAGACGCGGTTAGACGGACATGTTCTGTTACTGACTGATTTTAAATTGTACACTTACGATCATAATTTGTAGGGAAGTACAAGCCTGTATATTTCCATAGGTTTTTATATTTTGAAACAAATAGCTTATAAATAAGGAAAAAAAAATGTATAACTGGCTTAATATAAGTGCAATTTATTTATTTATTTATTTTATAGAGAGCTATACGTATATTACAAGACGTACTCCTCTTTTCATAATATTTCATTTTTTTTTTTTTTAGGTATATTTATTTTATAACTGGCGGGATTTAGGCCTTCTATACCAATCTAGAAGTAGATATCGTCAAAAAAAACTAAAAATAACCTTTATTATTATTTAATATTTACTTATATATAAATGATAATTATTGGTATGAAAAAAATAATCCCTACCACATTCAACTAAGTTACAGAGCAATACACCGGGATACTTTTTTTTTATAACTATTGTGTTTCTTCTATGTCCATCATTATCTTGTGTATCGTGTATGTTATCTTTATTTATACTCACTGCGACCTTGATGTAGCACGAAAACTGATTAAGTGATAAACATTAGAGAGCTGATTCTTCTTAAATACACGACAATATAATAGTATGCTGGTTGTGTTTCCACCCATTACAGAAAAACTAGACTTCATCGTAGAAAATACATTACTGCAGGGTTTAGCCATATCGGATTTAATTTCAGTAAATTCTTCGGGGCTCAATATCAGACGCAAAACAAACATTGTTCGATTAGTTGGTCGAGTGACACTAGGGTCATTTGTGTTTACACTCTTCTAAATATATGTAGATGAAATCTAGTGCTAAATGTACATAAAAAAAATAAAAACCATCTGCGTAACCCATTAGGTATAGAAATCGTTGCCCGTGAGAACGCATTTCTATTTTACAGATTTCGCATCCTAAGTGCTGTTGTGAACGCTTAGTTTACTGAAGCACATATCATATTATCGTGCACCTACGTTATGATATGGCCGAGGAGTGTAATAATATTACAATATCCCTTCATGCGCATACAGACGACCAATCTCTCGAAAGAAGACCATTTTCTAAGCGATATCGTATAGTGACCGCAATTTCGGTTTTTATTTTTTCCCTATTCCGAGGCTTTTAAAAAATCACATTACTGTAACTCGACCAATTATTATTCCGAGACATCTGCTGAATTTCTCTATACGTGTAATCTTCTTAGTGCAGATATATTTATACTCGACATGGTAGTTTTGTTGTATAAATACGCTAGTATACAACTGTGAGTTATCAATTAATTTGGAATTTTAAAATTGGCAGTCAATAAATTGTCATCAGTCTGTTACATATATAACATAATATTATAAACATAATATATTTTCATGTTTACATTTTATATTATTCATTTGCACAATTTTTCGATGAGTCGAAATATATTTGAATCGTACTCACTTGTATAATATACAGACGGAGGACTAATTATTATATTACTTATTAGTTATTTTTTCTGAGCTGTGTAATTATTATTATATACGTTTATGTTTGAAAATTTGATGTTTGAAAATCAGAAAAAGCATGAACTATATGAATAAAACAATTAGATTGTAGGAGTGAAAATGTGCAAAATTATAATTTAAAATAGTTATAAAATCGAGCTGAACAGTAAATAAAATATAAAATATTTTGTAGCTCGTTTTTTAATAGTAAAATAATTAAAGATGTTAGAAATATTGCAATGAAATAATGTAAAAACCGAAATACATTATTTTTGCTGCTGAACATTTTTATTATTAATAAAAATAAGCAACATCTTCCTTCAAATACATTTATTTTAATTTCCATGAAATTTCTAATGAAAATAGAAAAATAATCACCTATTTTAATACCCTTTAAATATTCTAATGAACAATATTGTTTCAATCGTCACTTTTATAAGAGAAGAGAATAGTATTATGGTGTTAGTAAAAAATATTATATTAATTAGATACCTACCAACTAATAACAGACAATTTTCAAAGTTATACATTTTGAAGACAGTTATTTACATTTGTCCCATTTAATTGTAGCTCGACCAGTCATAGCACAATGGCCCCGCTTAGAATCTAAAGTTATATGAAAAATTATTTTTTTGGAAAGTACGCGATTATATTTTGAAATAACAAAATAATTGTATAAGCTTATTATTTTGGAACTAATTGTTTTCTAAAAAAAATATTTCATCATATTCTTCAATAATATTATGTGCCCTTGATAAATAAGTGCGAAATTTGTTTTTTTATTGCACAATCTCGATTGAATATTAAAACTTGGAAATTACATAAAAGTTTAATAGAACCATTATTGTAATAATATATTTTGTGTTATACAAATATTGTTTCTTTTTTTTTTCTTGATAAAATAAACTTTTCCTCACGATATCGAGGCAAATATATCGAAAATGACTTTGCATATTATAAGAAAATTATTGGTGTTGTATACATCAATGTAAAATAAAATAATAAAATGCAAACAATGGAAGAAATAATGTTAGGTATAAGCTATATAACTAACTGTATCTAAAACCAAATTATAAATAAAATCTAATACGTGTGATTATCGTTTTATTATCATTTTAACTATCAAATATATTATATGTTGAAAATTAAAATTTATGACATTCCAAGTCCATAAATACCATACCGTATTTTAAAATATATATATTACTACATTATTTTGCAGTGATTTTCTTTGTGTTATATATTTACATAATTCAACATTTTATTGAGGAATGAAAATTATTTATTAGTTTATCTCACATTAATAATATTATTGTGATCAATATTTTTTAGCTCTTGAACCGGCACAGCCTAGTTTTAAAGACAGTCAAAAAATCGAAAGAGTCGACGTAGACAGCGGTCAGTTCGTGATGGCGTTGCATACGTCGACCATGTTCTTCGGCTTGAGAGAACCAGTGGGCCATGTGGATTTTTACTTCAACGGTGGCCAAATTCAGCCGTCATGCAACTTTGATACAAGTAAATGATATAATTCATGGCAACTGATAATATGTAGAAAATTCCACGATATAGAATTGTGTTGAGAGTGTGATAACAAAAATTAAACATGTTACGTTTCCGATATTAATATTCTCGATTTTAAGGATATAATCATAATTCTCACCCGAACCCTAACACCAATAAATATTTCACAGGTTTCTTGGAATTTAGTTTTAACAACCGTTCTGTATTATATATGGCGGTACACCCATCACTGCTAGCAAACCAAATATGAACATTTTTAACCATAGGTACTATATAATAATATACCTACTCAACTCATCGGAACTTTTAATAGTTTTAAGCCTGTTATTTCGTCACACATAATAATATTTTATGTGTGTTGTGTGTGTGGAAATGTAAATTTTAAAAGCTTATTATAAACTCCAATACGGGTGTATATTACTTGAACGTTATTTTATAATTGAATAACCCCTATCTTTGGTACATTAGTATGCTTCAAACGATATGATACTTGCGTAAGTTTTCCGAAACTTAATTATAATTCAATGTGCTACAAAAATGTTCTGAACAATTAATTATGTTCGAATATAATACTAACACAGTTGGTCATATTTAATAGTGCTTTAGAGCTACAAATTTTGGACAAAAATACGATTGATACAGTTGAACCCAAGCATCATATTTGTTATAAATTATAGTTTACATTATAGGTACTTCATTTTATAATACAAACTTCATTTTTTTAAATCAAATATTATAACTTATGTCTATAACTTGTGGCATGATAATATTATAACAAAGTACTTGATAATATTATCATAGTATTGTTTTAAACAATGTTTTAAAAATCAAAAGCATGTCGCAATATTTACATTTTGGTGAATAATTATTAAAGCAAAACCGTTTTTGATTTTTAGATACAACCAAATAGAACTACTTACCTATTTTATTTATTTTTTATTTCAATTCAGGTTAGTAGAAATCGGAAATTTGCTAAGGGTATCTTTTGAATCTAATCTTAATTATTATCCAGTCTATTGGTTTGATGTGGTCACATTCCATAAAATAGAACGGACGAACAAAACGACCTTGTTCTGTCTGTATAATCTAATCGCTGCAAAATCTAGCGAATTCCGAAGATTAGGCTATTTCCAAATAATGTATTAGTTCGTCCACCAATTACTATATCTCTGACCCCACGGTCATCCGGAAATTGATGATGGGCCAACGTAAAAGTCAACAGTGATCGATGGTAGTTCAAACTTGCGATTACGATAAACAATTTGGTCCTGGTAGCGGTTTTTATTTGAAAATAAGGTATTATGTAATTTTTCATTTATCGGCATTTTTTTCGCTTTATCCTGTAGTTTCCTAAGCTACTACGGTTAGTGGGTAATAATAAGAAAGCTAGTATAGTTTACAGCGGTATAAGTTATAATTTAATACAATCGAACGTTGCACAATCGTGCTATAAGCCCTGCTGATTATTAATTAATCAACTTAGTTATAAATGAGTCAAGTTAAAATTTTTCTCCGTATTAACTTTAAAAGTCCATAAATGTAAATGATATTGTTTGTTAGTTATTAACTATTAATCTGACGTTATTGTCGTTGACTTTGTATAATAAGTTAATTTTTTGCGTTCACATAAAAAAGTATGTACAAGAGTATTTCATACATTTAACGAAAGTAAGTCACATAATTTTATACTATTTTACTTTTCCTGGTAAAGTTCATGAGAAAATATAGTCTAATATTTTCAAAAATGTAAGATGTAAAAATAAATAACAATATTTTTACGAGATTTGAAATATTATTGAATTACAATAACTATATTAACTACTCAGTATAGGTATAGTTTATACGATTCTGATGGATATAATTTACTGCGGTACAACTGTACAATTATTATAAAATATTGTTCTCTTAGTAGCTACTATGTTTTATTAAACATAATAGTAGGTATCGTAAATTGTATATTTTTATGTAAGCCTAAAAGTGAGTCTAGCAGGAAGTTAAAATGTTCAAGTGTTTCGTTTTTGTTATAGTCTTATAATGTGGTATAGTATACAATAATAATAATACTATAATATTATTATTGATAAAAGTTATACCCGAAGGAAGGTATCAAACGAAAAGTTTTTCTTTAATGTACCTACGCATTTTGATTCTTTAAGTTTGTAACAACCGTTTGGAGTGTAGAATGTTAAAATTTTAGGTTCAAAGTATTTCAAAAGCTATAAAAACATAAACGTTTCTTCTGTATATTCCTTGACAGAAGATTATTATGCATGATATACATTCTACCGTTTAAGATGTTATGTTGAAGTGTTTTTAGTATAAAAAATAATTAACAATTATCAATATTGTTGTCTATTGTGAATATTTCACTAAAAGTTCTTAACATTTTTTCGTGTCTCGTTGTATTAACGGTGCAGTACAATATTATTATTTATTGCCTACTTATTATAAGTTTCTTAATGAAACGAAGAAGTGTTCATAAATGAAAACATTTGTAACTTAATTTGTATTCCCTGTAAGGCCATACGAATGGTCGATTTTAAGACTTGTTCTTCAATGGTTAGCAATAAGATTAGTTTTGTCACTTACAGATGTTACTTATAATAGATAATATGTTCATAAAAGTAAGTGCTGTACGAAATGAATGTATTGAGTGTTATTCAAGGTAGGGCCATCTAATCAACGAACATTTTAGGTTTACTTATAAGAAGACCTCTTGAAGTGTTTTCTTTTTTCCAATGGGTATTTCTATCTTACAATTTTAAATCAGATTTATTGAAATATATTTTACAGTGGGTATTTACACTCATGATGAAATGTAGTTGAAAAATTTTCTTTGTTTTATAATTATTTTCCTAACGTTCATAACAAAATACATTATTTCTAATTCAACATAAATAAAAGTGATTAAGTTACCATTCTAATATTTTTAAAACTAATTACAAATGTTTGTTTACTTCTGAGACTAAAATAGGCGAAAACATTAATAATAGAAAAATTTATATTATTCAACTACTGATTCAGTCATCAATTTAACATCATGTTGTATTTATTACAATTTTTGTTTTTGATTTATTTGGATTTTTAACATATTATATACAAAAATATCCTTTAATTTAAATGTATTACTTTAAGAGTAAAATATCGAAAGTTTTTAATGCAAATATTTGTTAAGTTAAGAGCTTTTTCAATGTTAAGGGCATATTTCCTGATTTTATCATTTTTTTTTTTTTTGTAAATCGTTTGATGGTTTTGACATTATAGTGAACAGAAATTACAATAGTACAATAGAACAGTTTGTACATTAAAACTAAAAGGATTTAAGATTTTATTGGTGATTCAAGACCAACAATAATATTATTAATGCTTAAAATATCGTATCTTATATAAATCAATTGCAACTAGTGATCAGTAGCAGGTGTGAACTAGAGAATCGCAAAAATAATATAAAATGCATCTAAATTTAAAATAAACTTACTATCGTTTTCAATGCAAAAACATGCAAATCCCAAAACAAAAAAGTAAAATAAAATAAAATAATAACAAGTTCAATTTTTTGTGTTTTTAAGCACTTATTTTTATTTAGCACATTTTGGAGCATTAAGGTTCGAACACGACTCATAAAGCTTTTTAGAAAAAATTATGATGATAATACAGTTTTTTTTCAGAATAATAATATTATGTTAAGCTCTGTATTGATCGGCAAGAAATGATGCCCAAGAGATGCGCATATAAGAAAATATAACTATAATGTAATATCGTGTTCAAGATAATGTGGTTAGCCTGAACACAACTTGCTTAAAGTCGTTTTCTAGTAAATTTGTGTACTAGGATTTCGGGATCGGGCATTGAACCGACGGTCGTACTCCGTCAACAGGTGGTCGGATACCCCATTTGGTGTTGATGACGGTGTGGCCGAATTCCTACAACGATTGCATATGTCATGTCCGGCCTGTCCACTGCGATGTGCATCGTCGTCCCGGCTCAAGGAGTCATATCAGTCAAACGACAATTGGTCCTCAGGCACAGGCTGGTCGAGTCCCCCCTCTCCCTAGGGTTCTGGCATGCCAAACCGGAAACCCGAACGTCAACACCTGAGGTAGCCAGGCCCTCCTTCGATCACGTGGATCTTTTTTACGAACTTGGCCAGTCCGCCAGCCGCGTGGTCGGACTGATCGGTCACCTTGTCCGTCGGTTCTCAGATCACCTGCCATCAGTGGGTGCTCGCGCTACCCGATCCACACGCAGTGCCCACCTAACCAGTCTCTATGGCATGGTCCCAAGAACTCGCGGAGGACCACATAAGTGGCCGTGGGTGGCGACGGACACGGTACTCGCTGGTCCCAGCACCTGATCGGGTAACCAGAGCATCAGGATGTCCATTTCTCCACAAACTCTTGCCATAGATTTCAACATACGAGCCTAATTACAATCGCCTGCAGATACTTTGAACTTCCGGTATACCTGGTTGTCGATCAGTCGCATCCGGAACATCTACCAATAACATTGCTCGTGGTCCTCCGGAAGCTGCGCGAGTGGTCGACCAAGCGTCCGGCTACAGAGCGTGAACAACGTCGGGGGGTAGCGGTCATATTCTGCACACTGTTATTTCGAAACGACTTTTTTCGATATTGATTGAAATTTTAGTCCATACGTCTTCTGTACGTCGTAAAAAGGGAACAAAAGTTTATTGTTATTGTATATTTTTTATTTCACACGTTTGTCCAATAATATCGTTTCGAACGAATTACCAAACATATGTGTTTCCGTTATACAGTGCCTGTTTCATTGTGGTCTGGGCCTCATTCAATAGGCTTTATTTATTCAATACAAATTCGAAAACGGTTTTGGAAAATTATTAATCCATAATCAAATTATAACAGTTTTAGATTTACCTAAAATCCAAATTGTTAACTATTGTTTTCTAGTTTTTAAGTAAAATGATTTCTCAATTTACAGAGTTAATAAATAATAATGTATAGATTCTTAATAAACTTTTAATCAGAAAATACTTAATTTTTAAAATGGTTAGGTGAAATGCTAGAAAAATGTATATATTGCAAACTGATGTTAGTATAAAATTAATTAATAAAACGTTTTCAAATTCATAGGGTTTTTAGTCATATTTTTTTCATTGTGGCTTAAAATATTTAAGTGTACTATTAACTATTTGTACTAACTTAATAAAATGTGTAAAAGAATAATAATAATTTGATTCCTATGGAATATAGTTATTTAGCGTATTTAGAGCTTGGTGGAATCGAGTGGACCAGTTTCCATCGATAAACATTAGTTCAAACGCTACAAGATGTTTCTCCGACATTCGAATTAATAATATTAATTTTCTCGCTCGTGTCTTTATATTATGGTAATACTTTTATTCAATCTTCAAGCTGTATCGATTAATTTCTATTTTTTTTACGGTTAAATCGTGAATTATTTATGAACAAGATATACTATATGTATAACCATTGGGTTTATATACTAACAATAATATATACACAATGGTATAACCTATATAATTTATGCGTCTAAACTGTAGGGGACATGGTATCGTTGTTAATCGTAGATATATGACTTTTCATCGACATCGATACCTATTTATTTAACAGAAAACCATAATTATATTAATAACCGTTAAAACGAGCTGTAGTACAGTCTTGCTTTTATGGAATCATAAATACATTTTTCTTTTCCAAGTGTAACGAATATAAAATACATAATAATATTATTTAGTACCTATATAAATGTGTATGTGCGAGCGTGTTATACGGCGAACAAGGACCTTTGATGGCATATAAAATGGACACGTGACGGAGATTTGTAACGTGATTTCTCCTCGCTCGTGAACCATGGTAATTATTATACAGACGTCGACAACGACGAGCTACAGCTGTCGATTTTAAACCCGGGTATACGTGCCGATTGTAATATCATTAAAACTTATAGCATTGTGCCTCAAACGTTCGAGTGCGATTTCCAAGTGACTAACTGTCTGTTTGTGTGTACAATATTTAGAATCGAATTCTCAGCTTATGCGGGTTGAAAAGCAGATCCAAAGCTCCGAAAAAGGCTGTCATATTACAATATTTGTTTTTCACTGGAAATATAGAATATTGTAATAGATAGGTACGCACGCGATTGTAAATTTTATATTTTCATCAATAAATATGGGATATGGTATTATTGGGGTATAATATTGCCATTTAGCATGGCTGGCAAATTCAACTCATTTTTTTACTCTTTAGTTAATATGGGAAAAAGGAAGTTGAGTTTTAAGTTTAAAGTTAACTTTCTATTTTTAACTAGTTAAAGTTGCAGTGAACTTCGGTAAGACGGAACTTCTGTAAGACGGAAACCCCGGTAACATGGACAATTTCTTTGGTCCCAAATCAAATACATAATGAATGTGAACTTCGCAAAGTCGGAAACTCCGTTAAAACAGAAAAATTGGATGGTCCCAAGTGATTCCGTTTTACCGAGATTTTACTGTAATTAAACAAAATAAGTTACATAACAATTTACTTTTTTATTTAAAAGCAACTTATTGATTAAATATATTGTCTACTTGCCGAGTTGATTTTTGTCCCATGTTATGCAGTTATAATTTATGACTTAATTAACTTTATAGGCATATACTTATATAGTAAATAGTATTTTACTTAGTAAAAAAACCCATGGATTTAAAATAAAATTTGTTTTGTTAATTAAAAAAAAAAAAATTTATGATTGGAAATATGAAAAATAATTTATAAATTATAATGATATAATATGTTTTATAAACATGCTACTAAATTAAAATGTAGAAGAATTTCTCAATATTTCTGGAATCTCAATAATAGTCGAAATAACGTTTATACGAGTATATACACATTTGTAAAAATAAGGCATATAGATATGTAATGTATACTGTACTGTAATAAGTTATAAAATTTACAAATATTCGAGGAAAATGAATTTACAAATTTTGAATTAACAATATGAATAGTATAAGTATATTAGATATATTTTAGATTATTATTGCACTTTAAAAATTGTCTTGGTATGCATGTGTATTCTGTCTTAATATTATGGAATTATGTTAATAATAATTTATTAACTATTAATGTTCATATTTTCTAAAACCATTTAAATTTTAAATATTGATTGATATTTTCAACTTTAATTATTGTATTAGTGTATTCAATACAAATAACTCAATGTTTCTGTACATTTTTTAAATAATTGTAATTAAGGAACCTCTTTTTACATTATTGAATTATACACGTCATGCCATTAGTATACACAAAAGTATGGATGATACATAAAACCTCTTACTGTAGCATGGTCTATGCGATTTTATTGGACATATATTTTTGTAGGAGTGTCTCCATTATTAAATTATTTATTGCGCTACTACAGGCAATTCGATTGATTTTATAGTCAATATTGCGAAAAAAAAAATATTAAAATACATCTATCACAATATTATCTCAAAATAAACCATTATCGACGGCTATATCATAGATATTATACAGCTATATAACATTGGTGCATCACATCCGTACTGTCGGATAAGAACCATTTGTACAGTTATTAATCGCGATGGATACATGTCCCTGATGATAAATATGTGCGTGTTTGTGCTGAATATTATAGGGAAAAAAATATTGAACGTAAAAATAAATAAATCAATAACAACTGGCCTCATACGCCACCCGTTCTCTTGTAAAAACCTGTGTTGTATACCTAATATCTCTGACGTAACTACGCTTCAAGTATTATTCCAGATACCAGGGTTATAAAATATTATGTGACAAATAATATTGCAGTGTTGTGTTAAATGGCTGCTGTGACTTGTACAATGCAACGAAGAACATCATACCACTATCTACTTACACGTTATAATTTACTAACTTTATAACTTCGAGTCGGTCCGTTGTGCTGATATACGTACCTATTATAATAAACACAACTGTAGTGTTTTTAATAGTTTTTAGATAAAAAAATATATAATACTACATATGTATTTCGACTAAAATGATAAAATGTTTTCAGTTTGCGGTCATATAGTAGTTCTAAACTATTTGTCGGATTCATTGAAAAATGCAACTGAATTTAAAGCATACCGTTGTCATGCGTTAAACTTTTGCGAGAAAAACGTCGTTGATGTTACAGAACCAGCTATTAACATGAACATAAACATACCGAATTCGTGAGTAAAAAATTCAAATTTGTAATGCATAAAAATATACTGTTTTTCGATGATATGTAACTTTTAATTACGTTTTGAGATAAGAATTACTGCAATAATAGTATGTAGTATAATATGATCAAAGCATAATAGCCAGTTATAATTAGTCACTATAGTATATTACTCTTGTTTAGTTTTGAATGATATATAATATTTCAAAAATATACAATTTAAAAAAACTATTTACGATACATCTGTATAGGTGATATTATTTAGAAATATTTGACTGATTTAAATCACCAGTTGGTTAAATTTAATTTTAAATCCATTACACTACATTGTTTTTCAAAAGTCAAGATATTTTAATTGTATTATTTCAAAAGAAAACGTCGTCATAAAATCGTACTAGAAATGTCATAATACAAATTGTATTTTTACCTTACAAAAATGATTATCACGGCAAGTGTTAAACCACATGTGATGCTTAGGTAGTAGGTATAAAAAATACACAATATACATACGATCAATAAAACATTATTCCATCGCATGGATTTCCACGAAACACTGAACATTTTTTTTCCTGATATAGTTTTGATATTATAAGTGATCTTCATCATCAATGTCCAATACATTTATGTACCAAAGCGTTATTCGTTTTAAATAATTTTATTCGTATGATCAGTGTTCATAGAGTTTCTTGAGGTTTATTCTGTTATAAGGGTATATTCATTGAAAACTAAAATTAACTGAAATGAATGTTGATCTGAAAAATGATACATCACAATAGCGAAAATGTATTTATTTTTATGCGAGGGTTGAAAAATTTGAAATTAACATTTTTTTAAACTTAAATATTACAGTTTCAAAAATAAATGAAAGAATTATTAAAGAAAGATAAAAAGAATATCAAAATGGTTTAATTTCAAAATATAAACCTCTTGGATTTAGTAATTGAAATGTCAGCAATTTGCTGACAATATTTTTTTTTATTCGTTATAAATATGAAAAAGTTATACTAGGTGCATAATGTTTCATAACACTGTAGGATAAAACAAAATGTGTTGGACTTAAATAATAATTTATTCTATCTTTTGTAATACCTGCTTTCAACATTTTTGTTCGCACTGAACTGCACAATAAACATAATATTGTGTCATATTAATATATTATGCTACTATACAAGTTTTGACTTTTTTCATTGCAAATAATACTATTTTATATGAATTGTCTAAATTGACAACATTACTTACTCACTTTGCCAATGTTAAAAGTAACATATAATATCTATAAAACTAAATTAACTTAACATATTAATGCTAAATTTTAAGATATTTGTATCAAGTTATTTAATTTGAGATTCTAAAAATTGTTATCATCGTAATTTTTAATTTATAAGCAAATTATCTTAACAAATCTTTGGTTGTTAAAATATTATATGCTTTATTATTGTGTATAGTGTAATATTTTTACCATCAATAGTGCAAATATATTAGAAGCAAATGCATCTTAGTGCGTGATTTCGGGCTTAGCTTTTCTAGCTCAGCCTTTAAGCTACGTATATAACAATTATGTGTTGACACTTTGAATTTAATTTTTTTCACATATTTTGTAATTTTAAGTTATATCGCATTTTACGGTATTTTTAACAATATTTTCGTCACGATTTTTTTTAACTTTTATGGATTACTTTTTATTTTATACAGGCTTTCATAAGCGTGTTTGTTTTATCGTGTTTAAGCTCGAACTTAAATACCTAAATGAAATAATTATAACATTTTATTTGTCTTTAAAATTATTTAAAATGGATAATACCAAGAATAAATTTTAAAATGTTGGCTATAAATTAATGGTTAAAAATTATTTAGTCTATTTAAACTTTAACACCTATTAATTTTTTACAAAACATTATTTGGATTTTTGAATTGCATTTATTAATATTTTATTTTGCATTAAGTGCACAGCCTCAATTTTTTTATTAATATTATGAGATATATTTTTTAACGATAAAATGAAAAGTAAGATGAAATATTCTCAACATATATACCTTCGTCAGGTCATTAAAATTGTTTAATATATTGTAGCACATTGATAAATCATTCCATTAATATATACACTTTTAGTGGATCTATCCTGTTCCCCCATAACACGACTTAGATTGTTTTTAAAGTTAGCTATTGTGTACCAGCTATAGTTTAAGGTTGAATATTATGTTTACATATATTATGAAAAACAGTATTAATTAAGTAGGTATTCAACACATTTTTATCGACCAGCTATTGGCTATTTGGATAGATTGTATGACTTAAATACATTTTGAGCTTTGGAATTGTTATAGGCTACAGTTGGGCTAACAAAGTAGGTATATTATGGTTTATTCAATGGTTTTTAGTTGGGTTGAGTAGTTTATTATGTTCATTTATTCTTAAGGTTTTTACTTTTAAGTTATAATCGATTTCTCAACCTTTCTAGTTGGTATACATATATTCTGGCTCGCAGTTCAAATTTCTTCACCGGTTAAACATTTTATCGGTAGTTTTTGTATCATTATGTGGGAAAGGGTATACAACCGCCGCGCGTAGCCTGTTCTTAAGTGATTTATTGCTCCTTCATTTTTTCTTGTTTACCACACACCTCCATCTACTGTGGTGTCTGATTTTGATTCTTTTAGCTCATTTTCTTTTATTTATACACTTAGGCCTTTTATTATACCATTAGTTTCTTATCTCATAAACTGAATTATTCCTTTCTTGTTTTGTCTTGTCAGAATATGTTATAAATTCTGATGCCATACATACATATTTTTTAATAAAGCCATGATTTTTTTATTTCTGTAAAACTTCATGATTTAATCTATTAATAATTAAATATCTAATACAAAAGTTGTACTTATACAAGTTAATTTGTTAATTGTTGTTTAATTAATTAAATATTATATTTAGTGTTAATAACTGTTTTATTTGGAAATTATAACGTGTATGACATGTATACAAACTATTTAAATGTTTTTGCCCAAATAACAACTATACATATTTATAAATATTATCCTGCTGCAGAAAATGTAAAAAAAACCTTATGTACTAAAAGGTAGTTCTGGAAATGTTAATGAAGCACATTAATCGTTTAATCTAATTTAGTGTATATAGTTTTGATGAAAGTTTTCAATGGTTCTAAATGTTGTGTAGGTAAACTCAATATCCCAAATATTGAAAATTCTGTTTTCTCGGTACCATACAATTTTTTCTAACATCATGTGATATCAAATATGATGGAAATATCAACATAATATTAAAATCAATGAAACTTTTTAAAAATTCTTTGCTAGTGACAGTGAGCATATTACTATGCACAAACATGATTGTCTCATAATCTATTAAACGGTTTATTTTTGTTTCATGTAAAATAATATTATAATCGAATTTATAGATATAGATACAAATACGTCATGATCAGATGATGGTATCATAGAAAATGTATAATCAGATGTATCGTACTCTATATAATTAAAATATGCTTTATTATATCTATATAATATGAGTGCATACTTTTGGTTTAGATTTAAAAATGAAATATAATGAAAACCCTACATCGTGTTTGCAAACATATTATGAATAAATAGAAAAATAGTAGAATAGTTTATGTGGGTGAACAATGATCATCGTATTAACGATAATGTATTCTTGAATTTTAGAACCAGAGGATTGTATTCCATAACAACATTAAAAAAGGACTTAAAAATATACTCACGTTTGTAAGTAAAGCAAAACTTTTATCTACTATATAGAATATTTTACACAATATTCTAGACATTGATCATATAATTATCTTATTTTCGATTAAGAATATTTTGTAATAAGATTGAAATTCTGTTTTTTTAAATTATTACCTACCTATCGATAAGTTTAATGGTGCTGTTTAAAAACTACTGTTTGACTTTTAAAAGTTGTACTCGTAATATAGCCATAAAAGATAAAACAACAGTAATTGTATTTTAGCAGTAGTTTAAATTATGAACAATCCTTGATCGATATTTTGGAAAATAATCGTTGAAAATTGTGACAACAAACACATTGTATTGGATTTGTTTTTGTTCACAATCACGTTTATTGTGCTATTAATTTATGAATAATAGTGGTTTTCCTTATGAAACACTCGTAAACATATTTTTTTAAATTTAAGCTTTATTTTACAATAAGTTTCAAGTTGAAACATTGGAATTTAATTTACAAGATTTAAATGTCGTTTTGTAAAATACAAATTATTTAGTAAACACAAATTAAGTGATATAAAATGTATAGTCAAATAATGATGATGTGTGAAATATAATATTTTCTTTTTAGGTTAATAACATACTTTGAATACTAAAGTGGACATTGGAAGATTAAAAATGGATAATAAATGAGACGATAATTTAGAATAGTCGGAAAGCAAAGAGTAATGTCACATATCCCAGGGTTGTTGAAGAGTATGTTCACGGTTAATAGACCTAAAGTTAGGTTAATACAATTTGAATACAACGAGTGGAAAACAAAGTTTGGCTAAATATGAGATGGATTAGGACGGTTTTAGAAAGAGTTATATGAGTGAAATGAGATGAAGCGTTTCAATAATAATTTAGCCATAATTTCGTTACATAAATCCTGAAGTTACGGCTGAAGTCCAGTGCTATGGAAGATGTTGTGAATTTGACTTGTTTGTTAGGGAATTTGTAACTATAGCTATTCCGGTATGATCGGATACACAAAGAAATTTAATAAAAAGCTTGTCTCAGTAAGAGAAAGTAAGAGGCTTTTGATCTTTTTACATGAGTAGAATTTTGCGTTTATAACATACGTGTACTGCTAAGAGAGCACGAAGGCAGGAAAGTGAATCAGTGGCGATAAAGAAGATATTGTTTTAATGGATTTGATCCTTTTGAATCATTTGGCTGCGTACCAAGAGGCAGTGGGTGGTAGGTAATAAGAAAATAAATGTGAAACTGTGTGATGTAAAAGGAAGACTTAGTTGATAAAAGATAATCAGAACATCGGTAAAAATTAAAATCAAAAGCAGAAATGAGTTATGTATAAAACCAACAACGATGTTGGTGAAAAATTGAAGGATAACAATTTTAGAAATTTGGGAGTATGGATTAAAAAGTGTTTATTTAAGTGTAGTAGGTATAAGGAATAGTATGTAGTAAAGGAGAGGAGATCGCTTTGTACAGTCACAGAATGTGAGTTTTAATAATGTATTTTAACGGCTTTCGGGTGGCTGCGAGAAAGTGCGGAGTAAGTTAGCGTATGAATTGGAAGAGTTTGAACAAAACGTTTAACATGAATAATTAACAACACACATATACAACAGACGTGTCGGGAGGACAATGTGAAGTCTGAATCGGACTGACCTTACGCTTCCAACTCACTCTAACGGGTGCCCATGGTTAATCGAATGAGGTGACGTCGGTGCATCACGGCGGCCGCATATAAATAATATAATATTATTTTATCGCGGCGGAATAGTAGTTTCTATTAAAGCCTGGCGGCCGGCTAGTTGATAGACCATTTGCGCGTCGCGTTGTTTAAAAATAAGGGTCGAAATACATCTAACGGAAATAAAAACTAAAATCCAACAAACGTCAAACGTATAAATAAATAAATAAAGCCCTCGCTTGCAGTATGTGAACCGGCGGCGGTCGGATTGGCCTTTTATCAACGCGCCGCAGCGCCGACGGTGCGCGGTTCAATGCATTTCCGATACATTACGCCGAGGAAAAAAAAATGTTTCAACTAGTAATGTTGTGTAAACGAACAAAAGTGTGGTATAACAACACGATATGAATTCGTTTTCGTGCGGCACCGTTGCGCGTAACAAAATCGATAAATCTGCTATGATTAGAAGGCACGTGGTGGCGAATAGCATGTTATATGTATAATTTATAATTTAATAACAATATTGTAACGTTCGAAAGTTTGTGTGAATTTCGATCGACGATACTAAATATATTTATAATATTCCCCCTTTTTTTTTTTTTTATTTTAGAACATTTACAATTTGTATTAACAAAAAGACAATAAGCAAATGTGATAATGTGTACAATAAACAATATGATATAATGACAGAATGACAGAATAAGAGAGGCCATCCAAAGATAAGAACCCTTCAATAATATTCCCTAAAATATCATATTATCCATATTAATAGCGATGTTTATTTCCAGTGAAAAAAAAAAAATAGGTGATATACATTTGTCTGTTTATATAGTATGAATTGACGAGTGCAAAGTTCATGATTTAAGAATGAAAATGCACAAACTTTAATAAGACTTGATACATTTTGATTTTTGAAATATGTTGGTGCAATTATTGACCAATTATAGGTATGGATCCTTATGAATATTTATTATGTGTTCTGGCACTTAATGATTAAACAACGCGTTTTGCTATTTGGGTCTTTTAATAATACTAAACGCATATAATATACGGAAATTAAGTCAATGGTTGTGCTGTATTTTTTTTCGTCTGATTTAGTGAGAGTTCCAGGAATTACGCATACGCTTTTTTAGTTTTTACACAAGCACTTGAACTATTATGGTATCTTCTAGATTCCTGTCCTGTATTACCATATACGACCATACTAAGAGAGTATCTACATTTCGTCAAATATATTTAAGTTTTTAATAATCAAAATATCGTATGGTATATACACTTTATCGTGAGAAGTATTACAATTCTGTACGCAAATCATTTCAATAGTTTATTATTTTCTTGATGAGCCAGTTCAAGTGATTAAGAGTTCAAATTAAAAACTTTTTAAAGGTCATTGAGATACTACATGTACTTTCTAAATTAAATAATACAATGCAATTTACAGCTTAGATTAACTGATCATAGTTTCATTTTAAATAATTAACTTTTTTGTATAAGTATTCAGCGTGGAATCATATATTTACCAAATATACCAAAAGTTTGAAAGATAATCTCTACCTAATTAATATTTTAAAAGTTGTACAAACCCTTGGCACATCATGATCAATATTATTATACATTTACAATCAAATCCATATTATGTAACAAATTATTTGTGGAACAGTTTAACTTACTAATATATTATAATTCTCATATACCTACAAAACTACCTTCTGTAACATATCATTATGAATTATGATACTTTTTTTGTTAAAAATTCGTTATGCATTTTAATATATCATTTATTAAAATATAACATAATAATACCTGTAAATTTCGAAAAGACATTACGTTATATTGTCTACGTTCAATTATTGTGTTTCAGCTTCTCACATTAAAGTGTGAAGATTTGGAGAAACATTCAATTTATCAAGCAAGGTAAAAAATGTACCTAACAGGTTTTTACATTAACGCACATGCTACTTAAATGTATAATGAATGCGATGTTTTATTTAGCACTTTATGATTATAAATTATACTATCTATACTATATTATATGTAACACAAAAAATTGAATTAGAATATTGTATAATGTGCCACATTCATACATTATTTTTTTTATAATCACTAATTATTATTAATTAAAATCCAATTATTCGTACTTATTATTATTGTTTTTATTTATTATTTTGATTTGTCTATTTCATGAATAATTCAAGCTTTTAATAATTATTATACCTACCCATGTTTTACACTCAAATTATTTCCCGGATTTGTATATAATATTATGGTTATTACTTATTAATTATTAGTAAGTACTAGTACCTCTAAACTTTATATGCGTCTTTTTTTTCGTGTAATTCTTAAATAGAATATGAAATATGATTCAAAAGGATATTTATATTTACAAGCGATCCCTATTTAACTATTTTGGTGGTTAATTTTTTGAGTTACTTCTCCAACGTTTTTAGCAAACAAAAAAAAAATGGTACTATATTGGACCACAATAAATTAATATTTAAATCCTTCTCGCCCATAATTTTGTATCAAATAGCAAACACGATTGTGTGTATGTTACAATAAAAATAATCTATTCCGTACAGTAGTTATTCTTATTCATCATTAACTATTTTTATTATATTATATTTTACGAGTTGTGAAAAATAATTATTGTTAGCAGATGGGAAATCTAAGTCGAATACTATATCGCACGTCATATTGCATAACTTTACGATTTACACTTATCAAAAACAAATTGTCTTGTAAAAAAAAATGTTTTTAAAACTATCTCAAAGCATAATATATTATTACATTATTCAATGATTGACTTGCTTTTTTTGATGACGGTCACAAAATCTATTCTAGTGTCAAACATACTTAAGTTATAATCTTTATGTATAATAGATCACATCAGAAATCAGTCATTCTCAAAAAAATAGACAATAATTTTGATCTTTGACAACTTTATAATATTTAATCAAAATCATATAATGTACACAACACATAAAATAATATGATTTCGGTTCATGTATATTGAACCTGAATTTTATCCACTATGTGGAAAAGATACTATTTTACATTTTGTAAAATATTTTCTAATTAAATGGTAATGGATTGTATTAATTTTCACTATTTTAATCATAATTATGTACAATTTTTGTTTTTAATAATAATTGTAAGCAATTATAATAAATAAGAACGGAATTTATATAGATTTCACAATGCTCTTTCTTCATGTGTATTATTTAAGTATAAATAATATACAATGTACATCTACTATAAAATAGTATACAATTATTCTAATAATATCATAATTTAAGTATACATTATTACTTAAAATAAAACGTTTGTACAGATAATGTAATTGATAATTGAATCAAAAAGTTTTTATATTTTATCCGTTGGACTGAAGTCTGAAAGTTTAACAAAGAAAACATTTAATACCATATTTTTAATTATTTACAAAATAAAAATACAATATTATTATATTACATTCACGTTATTTAATTGTGTTATTTGTGATTCCAATATTTGTGATTTGATTTACATCAAAAAACGATCGAATTCATGCTTCTTTATTTCAAATTTTTGAATAACGAAAAACACAATTTTATTATGTAGATTCTGTACAATAATATTATATAAAGTATGTTAACATACAAGTGAAATTATTAGCAACGAGAACAAACTATTTTAATTTTAAAATCGTAAATAATATATAGTTATGTTTGACTATTTACTTATTTTAAATCATCTTTCTTAAAGAAATATAGTTTATAGACATTGTTTTGCATTGCGTACATTTTTTAAATTGTTTTATTTTATACCTTACTTAACATATTATACATATGTTATGTGCAATAAACCTAATAAATAATTGTATTTTCTTAGATATGTATAGACCCAATTAAACTTCTATTAATTGATTAACAATGTTTTAGTGAATTCATGACGTGTCTACGAAGTTTCATAAACTATGCCATTTAAAAGCCTTTTCTCGTAATTTACACCTTAAACATTAGTTTTCACTTAAACTCTATGTTTCGTTTAAATTACAATATTCTATGTTAAAAAGATACGAAACAATATTCGTTAAACGTACCAAAAACATCAACATGCGTTTCCTTCCGCAATACTTTAAATTGGTAGGTACCTACCGGCTACTGTACGTGTTAATTAGTGTTTGGAGCATTATATCGAAGGTTAATTATTTAGAAAAATATCATCAGGACAATTATAATCGATTGCAAATTATGTTCATTTTAAAGTAACAGCCAATAGGAATCCTGCACTGATTATTAAAAATAAATTTAAAAAACAGTAACAAATCTTTATCTATATTTTGTTTATTCGTTACCTCTTATTTTATGGTTTCTCAAAATTTTCACTTGTGAAGGTTCATGTATTGTAACCTTATCATTAAGGAACCGGAGGCTAGAACTACCTAAATCCACACAACAATTTAAAAATATACATTAATCCATGTACTGAACATATGAGACATATGCTCAAAATAATATGTATTATAAAATACAATTTCATAACAAATGGTTGCATTAATTGTATTGTTTTCCATGATTTTACTTATCAATACAAAGTATTGAAGACAGTTGGTTTAAAAATCTATCTTGGTTTTAAAAGGTTTTTTTTTTTTTATTTCTCAGAGAGTCACTCTGAGTGACCTCAACAACTGCGAGCCCGAAAATTGTTTGTGCTATCAGTGAGCTCCGTGACTAACAGCCGACGACTACGGCGACATTGATTTCGGTGGATTTCGAGGTGCTGAACGAACTGACAACGTATACAGTACTGGCGGTGGCCGTTAAGAGGTCGTTAAAATTACCAACACTATCTCTATATGTCCGAATAACGGACGATCGTCAACTATTTCACTTGATGATAGTATGGCATCATCAGAAATTGATGTACCGTGAATTATTATACCGAGGAAAGTATTGGACGAGTTGACAGAATTTGAAGAATAAATTCGAAATGCAGATTCAATGTCGGGAAAGCACCTTCTGTCAATACCATTGTGTTTCAGGAGTACACTGGAAGTCTAACACATGCCACTGATTACATGGCATACTGAAAATAGTCATTGAGTGGCCATTTAGCCAATAACGTGCAGCTTTTTACAACGACGGAAAACCAGCCACGATCGGACCGAGATTAAGACCGGATCAAAAGAACGACACTATCAGATACATTTAGAATATTTGACGACATATTGATTCATTATAATAACTGCCTATAAGGACGGTTCGAAGTATTAAATAATTGTTGAGCTCATAAGTTCGGCTATACAACAACAGGGACTCATACTGCAGTATTTGATAAATTTTGTTATTTTTTATTCTAAATTTGTTCCGTCCATCATACTAGTGAACAACACGGATAACTGGTAAATGTTATTCATCAATTTCCATTATAATATATTTTTATACATGCAGTATTTATTTTATATTTATACATATTATAATATAAGCTAAGCAACGATACACTTTATTTAACATTAATATATTTTTGACGTCTTAACGCTTTATTAAAGACAAATTTTCAACGTTTTATAAATTAAAACAACGTTTATAATAATTATGTTGATTTTAAATAATTAAAAATTAATGAATCTCTGGTTGCTATTATTTTAAAACTGTTTACTCAAGCTAAATTATGCCGTCTACTTATTTTTTTTATTATGCTCTGGATTTGGATGTTTTCAAACTTTGAACGTTTGGACTAATTTAGAATATTTTATAAGACTGATATTACTTTTCAGAAATATGCTATTACATTTTAAGTTTAAAAAAATGTTGGGCTAGTGGGTTCCGCTATTATGCTGTGCAATAGGTGTCGAGTGGGTCACTTTAATGGATGTGTTAATTTTGAAGTAAATTATAAGCCAATGAATGTAAAAAACGATTATGAGTGAAGATTTTCGGAGCGTTTATAAATAAGTTTATTTTATGATATTATTGTTATTAATGTAATTTATTTTGCTATTCATAATGTTATAGGTTAGGTAGTTAAGTAAATTAGCTGTTTCCGAAAATATTGCATTTCAAAAAATATCATCACGAGTAAAAAATATATAATATGATGGTTGAAATACTTACTTATACATAATATTTTTAAATGATGACAAAATAACTAAAATCGTTCTTTGCCAAAGTCTAATTTCATTCAAATTTGAATTCAGAATATATTTGCATGTACATAGACAAAAAAAAACACTCAATCACATCATTGTAAAACCGATCTATTCATCACTCCGTTCAGAATTTAAAAATTGTATATAACTTAGAAAAGTTTAGATTTCCGTCGTTAATATCTTATATTATATTATATATTATTGTCATCGTTTATTACAATAATATAAACTGCAGCAAACGTAAAGACGCATATTCTTGAAACATAAATAGAAAATGCATAAATGGGAACGTGATTATTGTAGGCATCGTCGGTCATTCGATCATATATTCATATTAATAACCCACACTAGTTAAACGACTTTTAACCCAATTGGTCCTTATATCATAATATCATATTTTTTTGTTTAGGTTGTTAATTATCACACAACGCAGTGTCAATCCACATCACATATTATTACCACATTTGTTTGCAATCATTATTGAACGTTACGTTTAGTGAACTTGGGAGGTTAGGTGCTTATATAGACGCATTTTTGATTCGCATTAAGCTAATGCGCGTTGATTATTTAACACGATTGATAAAATCGAATTAACCCTATAAATGCACATTAACGATTGTATGTAAAATATATTTTATTGTATGTTCAGCGTTCGACGACCCGCGAGGATCACGATGGCGTGTGATTCGGATGGAAAGTCCGTGTAAAATATTTTATGGCGCTTAAAACTATACTCATATCTATTGTTGTATATTATATACTAAACTCTTGTAATATTATTATTTTTGGCATTTTGTTATTATAACAACATGTCATGTGCCAGCGGTGCTGGTATATAATGCGATTCATCAGTCCCGAGAAAGGTTCTGCTACGAGACCAGAGAGCCGTAAAAACGACGCTCCGGGCCGAACTTCAACGGTTATGGTGGCCAAAAACGATC